ATAAGACTGATAGAAAAACTTGCATACAGCACATTGTAATCAATATCCACCAAGATCAAAATATCAAATGCATTGGATAATTAGATAAATAATTACAAAAATTGGAATCAGACTCCCTGTTTCCATGGATTTCTCACCATTACACAACCTGACCAAACAAAATGTTTCATTTTTCGACCAACAAAGACCTGAGATTATGACTCGTGGATCTCAATTGGGGCTCCGTTGGTCTCAATTAGGGGTTCTTCGTTCTCCATTGAAGCTTCGTCACTCTCAATTGCGGCATCATCGACCTCAATTGGGACATCGTCGCTCTCAATTGGGGCATCGTCGCTCTCGATTAGTGCTTCGTCGTTCTCGATTGGGGCATCGTCGCTCTCGTTTGGTGCTTCGTCGATCTCAATTGGGGCATCGTCGCTCTCGATTGGTGCTTCGTCGATCTCAATTGGGGTTTCTTCTGTCTGAATCGGGGCTTTTTTTGTCAGCTTGTGAAAGAAACCATCGATCCGACGAGTGCCGGCTGGAGCTGGTCTAGCGGCAGCGGTGCGGCTCCGGTCTCGTTTAGCTGGAGCTGAACTACTGGCGACAGTGTGACCTTGACTCCGGTCGATTGCCGGATGATCGAACGGCTGAGAGGGCACGGGAAGTTCATCGATTAGGAAATCGCATGTCGGGCGGTGCCTCTTGACCGCGACTCGCATGTGCTCGAGCTTCACGACCTTGCGCTTCCTCTCCGTCGCGACCTCCGCTGACCGCTCCGCCAAGAATTCGAGGAAAAGCTGGGCGGAGTACGAGACGAGGAGTAAGGCTTCCGAGTTGATCTTGTTGATGTCCCTGTCCAGCTTCATTATCCTCTTGACCCGACCGTTTGGGAATTCGGGTCGGATCCGATTCCCGTTCCCTTCTTCTGCTCCTACCTTCCCTTTTCCCTTTGCCGCCTTCTCTTTTTCTCGTACTGGGTTCTCTTCTTCTTCTTCTTGTGCTGGGTTCTCTTCTTCTTCTTGTGCTGGGTTCTCTTCTTCTTCTTGTACTGGGCTTTCTTCTTCTCCTGCTAGATTTTCTTCTTCTACGGCTGGGTTCCCTTCTTCGACTGCTGGATTCTCTTCTTCGTCTGCTGGGTTCTCTTCTTCGTCTCCTGCTGGGTTCTCTTCTTCGTCTGCCGGGTTCTCTTCTTCGTCTGCCGCGTTGTCTTCTTCTTCTTGTGCTGGGTTCTCTTCTTCTCCTGCTGGGTTCTCTTCTTCTCGTGTTGCGATCTCTTCTTCTGCCATTGGTGGCGGCGACGCTCTGGTGGGGATTCGGGAATGTGTATTCGAAAGGGAGAAAATGATGTTTTAGGGTTTTGAATTGGCGGGAAATATTCAGTTTATCATATTTGATAGACGATATTGCACTTGCGTTTAAGGTAATGGTACTTTTTGTCCACTGTGCCGTGACCGGTTCATAGTTCTTTGGAACTTCAATCGATGGTCAATTGGGTATAACGTTTTTTACCCGCCATGTGAAATATCATTTCCGCCAAAAGTTTGTTTTTGTTGTTTTTTCATGAAATCGTAATAATAAACAATTAACTAGTTTTGGTGCCTTGTGATTCGTGAAGCTTAGCTTACTTTAGCAGCCACGTGATAATTCAAGCTCGTGGCAGGCATATGGGTTGAATGAGGCGGTAGCGAAGCCCAAATAATGATGCAAGTGCATGGTGAGCGTAGTAATCCCCTCTGACATGTTCTTTGTATAACCAAACAAAGAGTTAATAAGGACCGGAATATAGAAAAAATGTATTTTAGATGGATGAAATACTCATTAACAAAATTAATCTTTCTTTTTTTTTGGTCGAAACAAAATTAATTAATTTTTAGTCCCCAAATATATATGACAGGACAAAAAAAAAGGATTAATTTTGTTAGTCCCCATGTAATATGACAGGATGTTGTCATTAGGACGAAAAGTTTCAATTAAGGATGAAGTTGATTTATTTAATTAAATAAAAAATTATTTGATTAAATCCAATCGGGTGTGAATCAAGTCCAAATCAAGTCTTTATCCTTTCGTCAATTAATCGTCCAAAATCAATTTCAAATAAAGCTCAATCAAGACATGGAAGGGCCTATAACGAGGCTCTAAGGCAAACAAGGACCTCTCACATCCACACACCCTTACACGCTCAAACGCCAAAACACTCGTGTTCTTCATCAAACTTGTGAAGAATCAACAAGCACAATAAATGCAAATGTCGATTCATCAACACCAAACCCCATTTCCTTCTTCATCGAGAGAAAGAGAAGACAGAATACTAGTTAAGATAATGGCCCTGGAAGGCGCTAGAGTAACTCGCGAGAAAATGATGGAGAAAGAGCTAGGTAATGAAAGGAAATGAACTAATTTAAACTAGGGGTGGGTTGGACAGGTTGGAAGGTCAACCCAATCATAACCCAACTTTTACAATTCAGGTTCGGGTTCGGGTTCGGGTTAGGTTTCATTTGGGCTTGGGTTTAATTGGGTTGGGTTCAAAATGTCCAACTTTTTCAAGTTTAATCTTGTAACAACTTAGTTTCAAAAAATTCCTAAAAAATTAAACCAAGTAGCATCAAATCTAGCTCACTTTAATTTCATAAATCCATTTACTATAAAGCTTCAGGATTTAGAGATTACAAATATGGATTGGCTAATCAAAGCCTCCTATTCCCTAAAAGCTTAAGTAATTGTAAAGGGTAATTTATTCAAAAAAAAATATTAGAAAGCGTGTTGGTTTTTGGACTTGGCTCACTTGGGTGTAGTATGAGCACTAATTGATATGGGTTACAATCTGATTAGATTGAGTTTGGTTAGTCAAGTTAGGTTGGGTTAGGGATGAACGGGCAAATGATTAACCCAACTCAATGTTTGGATTTAAAGTTGGGTTGGACATGGGTGGGTTTGGATTGACCCAACCCAAGTTGCACCCCTAATTCAAACATTGCATTGGTAAATAAAGGAAATGAAAAGGCAATGCTTTAAACCAATAAATAATAAATAAAAAAACATTTCATAATTAATTAAAATTTATTTGAAGCTGTTGTCAAATTTGACAGCAACCATCTTTACTGCCATTTCATGTCATGCCACATACAAATTGACATCTTGGTTGGAAAATACTTGTGTTATGTTTTTACTGTTATTGCTAATGTGGATTTTTTTACATCTCCTTAAAAGATACTTTGATTCGACATGCTAAACGAAGTCGTGTATATATGTAGAGTTAGACAAGTTTCAAAAAATTTCAGATATGATTCAAAACATTTAAATTCGTTTTGGAATTTTTTTTTTTAATTTTAACATTTCGATTTCAAATTTAAAAGAAGTAATATTTCAGAACTTTTCGAATCAAAATTGAGATCAAATCTTATGCGCCTAAAATGGGTGTGACCGCCATGTGACCCTAATAAGTGTCTAATATGTGTTTATTATTTTAAATTTTGTTGTCATAAATTTAATAGGCGTCAAACACTTATTAAGGCCACAAAAAAACCACACTTATTTTGGGTGCAGGAGATTTGATGTCATCCTTAATGATATATCTCACGGATTTGGATCACATATGGATCCAAATTGTGGGGATCCTAGGGATCCTCACATCTTAGCCATTCATTATGCATCGTGCGATCATAAATCATTTCACCTTTTTTTATATAAAATTAAACACAAATAGTACCTGACAAAAACTGGCCGCACGATGTACGATGAACGAGTAGGATGTGTGGATTCCTAGGATCCCTACAAAGTGGATCTGAAGAGGATCCTTTTCCATATCTCACGTTGAATGGCTAGTTTAGGGTTGCTGTGCTGTGAAAAAAAAAAGTGTTGTTTTTAGAAGCAGAAGTAGAGCTGCTTTTGCTTTCTGCTGTTTTGGACCCATGATTTTGACAAAAAGCATTTTTTTTTATTTTACTAAGGGTTTTCTTAATAACACCTCACAAATTGTTGAATACACCCCACTTAATATCTAGTGTTAAATGACTTGTATAAAATGACTATTTAAACCCTATTTTTCTCAAAAAAACCTAAAATTTAAAAATAAAGATATAAAAAAAAAAACAATTATTTTCTTCATACACCCCAAATCATGAAAAATAAAATCCTAAAACTACCCGTAAGTTTATTTATAATTTTGTACACACCTACACTCACAATGTCTTGTCATTATGTTTTTTTTTTAATTAAATGTTAAGTATTCTGCAACATAACAGACAAAGATATATTCCGAAATATTCAATGAATCAAATCTTCTTTAAGATAGTGTAGTATTGTTTTTTTTTTCTTTTGCTAATTTTTTTTAAGCATGCTTGGTGTTTATTTCTTAAGATGGGTAGGGGTGCAATATCATTCAAACATGATTGCAGAACCGAATTTTTAACCTGGGAACAGCAGGGGTGCAATATCATTCATGGCTAAATTGGTATTTAAACGAAGCAAGTGAATACCACATAGAAGCAAAGGAGAAAGTCAAAGTAGCAAAGCTACCTGTTGCACAAAAAGAAGGAAACGGAAGATCATTCCATGGAAAATATTGAAAACCACATGAGCAAGAATATAAGCTCAGATCAATTTTTTATAATGTTTTATTTAAGGTAACAGATGCATCGACTAACGGAACTTTAATATAATAAAATTTAATGAATATGGGGTGCATGTGAAAATGTAAGTTGTACGTTGAGAATATGGAGTGTGAGTTATTATAAAAAAGTAAGTCCGTTGTATTAAGATAATTTTTAGTTGAAAAAATAAATGTGAAGGTGTATTAAGTATGTGAGGTTTATTTAACAATATGTGAAGTGTCAATATAATAAGTCTTTTACTAAACACAATTTTAACCCTAATTTTTTTTATAAAAACTGCTTTTAAAATAATTTCAACAATGTGAAATCAGCCGAAATGAATCGAGTTTCCTAACTTGGAAGGAGAACGGTCACGTGATCCGCGCGGCCGAGTGACAGATTACACACGTGTCAACCGCGAAATCCTGCCGTGGTGTGTCGCTCGAACTCAGAGTTCTCAACTTTTCTTCATCCCCCTTCAAAAAAAAAAAAGCGCACGAACCCTAACTCCCTCCTCTGAGCCAGAGAGTGAGTCACGGTAACCTATTTCGCACCAAAAATCGCCGTCATCCACCTGAATCAGTCGCCATGCAGTTCTCTCAGGAAGACTTCGATCGCCTCTTGCTATTCGAACACGCCCGCAAAACCGCCGAAGTTAACTACGCTAAGAACCCTCTCGACGCCGATGTTCGTACTCTCTCTCCCCTCTCTGTCTCTGTCTCTGTCAAATTTTCACCTGGTGTGCATTAACCGTGTCGTTTTTTACTGCAGAATTTGACGAAATGGGGAGGAGCGCTCCTCGAACTGTCGCAGTTTCAGAGCATTGCGGATTCGAAGAGCATGATTACTGGTAATTTTTTATTATTTTGCGTTCATAAACCCTAATTAGTAGTTGTGTTGGTGTTTTTTTCAATTGGAATTTGTGTTCTGTAATGAGTGTTCACTTGAACGTAAAATTTTGATTAGATTGCATTTCGAAGCTGGAGGAGGCTTTGCAGATAAATCCCACGAAGCATGATGCGCTGTGGTGCCTAGGAAATGCCCACACCTCTTTTGCATTTCTCACCCCTGATCTCGACGAGGCAAGGCCTTATTTAGATAAGGCCACTGGGTTTTTCCAGAGGGCGGTGGATGAGGTTATATTATTGCATATCCGAATTTTCAAATTGTATTATACTTGAGTATTCTAAAATCCAAGAGAGGATTGACAGTGGGTTTGATTTTGTAGGACCCGGGTAATGAGCTTTATCAGAAGTCCTTAGAAGTCACATCTAAGGTATTGCTACTGTTATTCCACTTGCAGGCTGTTCTGTTGGTGATATTATAGTATTGTATTGTGAAACATTTGTTGATTAACCTTGAAGATTTATTGGCTACCTTAGATATTTAGTAGGTAATATAGTGGAAAGAGGAATTTAGGAGGTAATATAGTGGAAAGAGGAATTTAGTAGGTACTAAAGTTAAAAGGTGGGGGCTTTGTAGACTTACGATAATTCAAACTTGAAAACAATTCAGAAATGATCTGCTTTGGGCTATGACAACCTTCAGATTAAGGGTCAAAGATGCTAAATTGCAGCCAGACATGGATATATCTAAGTGGTTATGGGTATGAGTGAGCAGAAGAAGTTTTATTTCACTTTGTATAAATATGATTTGGTATATTGTGGCCAAAGGCCTAAAAAACCAAAAAAGAACAAACAGACCTGGGACCTGAGTTAAGTCATCCCATATGAAGGGATAATAGTTGGGAAGGATTTTCTCATGTTATAGATATAGTTAGGTACCATGCACAACTACTGTTGGCGGGCGGATATGAGGCGGCGGTTAACTAACTATAGCATAGGTATCAGGGCGAGTGTTTTGAAGGTCAATATCATTTATCAGGAAATGTCTTGTGTCTTTATGTTTATAGTAAGAAGCAATCGTGTTCTGTAAATTGGATAATTTTAGGACCTACTATCGAGTTCAGTACCAACAAATTATTTTAAGAGGTTGTTATCATAGTTAGTTTAATACCCTTTTTATGTAATTGCATTAATTTGAATCTACATTGCAAGTGCAACGGAGGTAATTGTTGGTCATGTATTCATAGGCACCAGAATTGCATATGGAGATCCATAAGCATGGGCTTGGACCGTTGGGTCAACAAACTTTGGGTGGGGGACCTGCTCCTTCTTCATCCAGTACAAAGGTTAGAATATCAAATTAATACTTTATTCTAAGTGCATTCTGTTCCAACATGTTTGTTTGTCACAAATGTTTCTGTGTTTGGTTGTCAGCTGGCTGTATTTGATGTTGGTATTCAATTACTTTGTTTGTCACAAATGCTTTTCAGTGTATAGATGCAAGAAAACTTCATTTGTTTTCATTGAACTTCTAATAAAATTGTTATTTATTCCAGAGTTCCAAGACCAAGAAGAGCAGTGATCTGAAGTATGACATATTGGGATGGGTTATCCTTGCTGTTGGCATTGTTGCATGGGTTGGAATGGCAAAATCCCACATGCCACCGCCACCCCAAAGATAAACTTTATATATCGTAAGAATGAAGTAACCCTGCCAGTGCATTTGGTTGAAGGTTAATATTTTCTTTAAGATATTCATCTGGTTGAGTTGTGCTAATTCAAGTAAATCATGTAATATGCTGATACATGTTGATTTTGGCCATAACTTTTTCTATGCTGCTATGATAATTAGGAACATCATTTTTTATATGAATTATTGTTTTCTCCTGAAAATATTGGATAGTCTATGTTGGTTTGTTTCATATGATCCCATTGAGTTACTTGCTTTGCCTTGCTCTTTGGTACTCTCTAGAGGTTTTCTCAGGATTTCTCTGTTTTTTGGTTGTATGATATATCTGTATCCTAAGAGGTCTAGTCTAGAATTCTCTCTTTTATTTTTAGTTCTAAATTAGCCAGCCTTATAAAGGATGTAACTCTAGCCAACTTCACTGAAACAAAATACCCTTAATCTGATAAATCACCATCTCTCTTAAGTCATAACCTATACACACAAACAAGACAAAAGAAAATTGCCTGTGTCTTTGGATGTGTGCTCTAAACCCTCCACAGACAATCTCTGCCCAAAATTTGAGATGATTTTTTATGAAAAAAATTGGCAGCATGACCACTTTTCCGCAACCAACTACTGTCTCTCCCTCCCTCCATTGTCTTATGTTTTTGCCATTAGTGTAGCGGTGACTGTATTAGTGGAAACCTCCTTAAAGAGAACCATTTGAGAAATAATTCTATGGTTTATCTTGTCTTATTACCCCCAGGGTTAACCACGGAAGAAATCTTTATTGTTCAAACTATTGTTTGAAGCTTCCAGTCCTCTTCTTCGGTTACCGCAACATAAAAGCTGAGCGAAAACATGTATCCGTATTCCAAATTTCCAGTTGAATTTTCTGCTGCTAATATAGTTTTACCAACGTGGCTCTAGCAATCTGGTGTTGGACATTTTGGATTTCCACTAATCTATAATTATTAACTAATTGTTAATGTATCATCCATGTTAAGTGCCCAAAGCATATAAATTGGTAAATACTTTGTTACTTCCTTATGATGAGCTTGACCCAATCATGATAGACCTAAGTCAGATTTTTTAAAAGAAGTTGGAACTAATGGGAATCATGTTTTTATTTTTTCAAATATGCTTTATTCATGGAAAATAATGCACTTTAAAATATTCATTATAATCTTTCACAATGAAATGTTCCTCTGCATGAGTCTTAGATGTTCTCTTACAAAAGACAAATCAACATGTTAAAACACACGCAGGGAGGTTGACACTTACAAGTGGTGAATAGAAAGGGATTCAGTTAAACGTCTTTAATGAGGTGAAGTATAATATTGGTCAGTTATTATCTCAAGCCATTATTTTGGTCTGAAACTCTTCCTATAGGCTAAGAGTACGCCTCCCATGTTTAACATGGTAAACTCTGTGGGCACATACTATAATGTTCACTTTGATCATTGTACCTAGAGGTGGCAAATCAACCCATTGGGTTAATGGGTACCTGTTAAGACCCGTTTAATTTGGCACCCCCATAATATAGAGGTGAGATTGGTAGTGGTGATGATGGTGTAAGGTGAAATCAAACTAAATGGGTCTTAATGGATACTTGTTAACCTAGGGTTGATTTGCCACCTCTATGGAAATAAAGTTCTTATGCTTTTCTTACCAGTTATTTGGTTCATTGTGTGGAAGACCAAGCCCTGGGAGCTAAAATTACAGGTAGAAATATTTTGTGTGCTTGAAAACTTAAGTTAGCTTCATAATCAGTTCTTTTACTTGCAAATCTCAATCATTTCTGAGCTATAAATCTATTGTCACTCAAGTATCCTTAACAATTGAGTTGACTGCACTCTGGACTGAATTAATAATAACTCCCTACTCGAGATAAGAATTATTAGGGCTTATCTGGTACAGGAAGCGATGTCTAAGAAAAGTAGTGATGCAAATTCCTTAGAAATAAAACACTGGATAATCTGTTGAGACCTACTTTATTTCTGGTGCTCTTTCTTTTGGCTCATGGTTTGGTCACTGTAGGAACAAATTTGTTGGGAATGCAGCTTCTTTCCTTTTTTAGTAAATATTCTATATTAAACATTCAGTCTTTTATATTAACAATCATTGACCTTCAAAGTAATGATTCTCTTAGTCTAAATTATAATTAGAACATTTTGAGCCCCACTCTTTGTGAACATTCATGTTCTTGTCCTCATAAGTTTGCAGTTGTAGTACTATGTTCTAGGCTCGGGAAATTTTAACTTATTGTTAGGCCGATTATAAAACTCTCTGTAAACCTAACACTGTTCTTTTTTCTTTTCTTTTTCCTGGTTCGCCTTCTTTGGCATGTATTTTGTGGCCTTAAAGTTGTTTAATCATCTAATATTTTGATGGCCATTTGCTTGCAGTTGTGATGATAGAGATGAAGTTGTTTTCCTTTTTGGGTGAGAAAAATTAACTAGAATCAAACTCTCTGAACCAAACATATTAGCATAGAGTAGATTATTCTTTTAGCTCACTCGAAAGATCCGCATACCAAATAGGAGTCATGTTCGGAAGCTTAATAGATTGACTGGTAAAAAGCCTTGGAAAAAACTGGGTTGAGTGATTGAAGCGGGGTGCCAATAGGCAAGGTTCTAAAAGATGCTAGGCTCTAGTAGTGCGGCAGGCTGGGGCCTGGGCAGATTTCACTAAATTTATTGTATATTTTTTAAATAAGCACCTATTTATACTTAAAAAAACACATAATTGTGTTGGAATACATAAATTGCATAATAAAATGACATATAGATTATAAAGTATTAGAGCATATTGAAAACATGGGGAACAAGCATATAATGAGCGTTCATCCAAGTATTCAACAAGTCTTTTACATTTTATTGAAAAAATAAAATGTAAAATGAAATTTATCGATTTTTTGTCTAAGTGGGAGTCGCGAGCCTAGGTGGACGCTTAAGCGGGTCTAGGCGGCCTTTTTCAAATGTCTAAGTGGGAGTTGCCAGCCTCTTATTGCCTGGGCGGGGATTTTTAGAACAGTGCCAATAGGGATGATTTGCAGAATCTAGGATGCATCATCGTGTTTAATTATTAAAAAACTTCATCCCTGGTCGGCCGCCACTTTCTCTTATTGGTGTGAAGTAGTGGGTAAGGTGGCATTTTCGCGTTGGCCGCCTTGCCATTAGCGGAAGCAAAAGATGCTCTCAAGACCATAATATGCTATTAGTCCCTAATTTATCCAGGCTGGTTGTTGGGTGGATGCTAGGAAAATACTTTGATAATGTTAAAAGCAGCAATAGTTAGCTAGGCATTCCACTTTGGTTGCCTTTTTTTAGGGTTTGTTTATTCTTTCGATCCTCCCAGAAGGGTCTGCTAGTACTGGGGAGAGCCTGTTGCAAAGACTCCCTACTTTTTGTGCATGTGTGTTTTTTGCTTTAAAATAGGGTCCTCTTTGGTCGATCCCCGTTGGTTGAACACCAATTGGTGGTCTCTGTCTGAGATTTAATTCTTTTTAAACACTCCTTATAGGCCATTATAATGGCTCTTTTTCACCAATAAGGAGATATTAGGTTGCAAAAGTTGATTTGTTTAGCATCTGCCTTTCATGCTTTGTGCAAAGTAGAGTCCTCATGATCTTTAATAATTTCAAAGTTTAATGAGACTTTGCAGGAGGACAGGCGCCATGCTTCTTCCTTCAGCGTTGTGGGATTTCAATTTGGTTTACTTTATGGTCATTTGCTTTGCCTCCTTTATAGTTTATAGTTTGATGTGCAGCATTGGTGATAGGCTCCAATGATATCGGGTGCTTTAGGATTGAGAGCAACCTCCAAATTGATTGATAGATCAAGTATTGGATGCTTGCGTCGGCTACATCCTCTCGAAAACTGGTTTGGTTAGTACATGTTTGTATATTATTTTGATAGCAAATGCATTATATTCTCTCTGTTTTTGGTTGGCAAAGGGAGGGCAAAGTTTTTGGCTTTGGATATTAAAGTCTAATGATGGTTTTACTTTGTTAATTAGTTTAATTAGTATGTGGTTTCGTGGGGTCCGCTACGTATGACGGAACTAGAGTGTGTGACGGAGTCATAGTTGATATTATACTTGACAGTGGATCTTTGCGTATTAGCCATCTTGCTGGATAGGTTGGTTATTATATTTGGATTTGGAAGCCTTTATATTGCGCATTGATGAACTTGGGGAATTAAAGGGAGGGAGGGATGGATATCTCTTGTAGTCTTTTCTGTCTACTGTGTGTCTCTTTCAACAAAATGATCTATGAAAACTTGCTTTTTCTGCACCTGTATTTTACGGGAACGGGAACTATCATGCTTGTACCCAATGGTTTGGCTGCAGTGGAATTGAAATTGCATCAATTTGTTGCGAGAATATGCAAACTTTTTAATCGCACGTACTTTTTTGCGTGGGTTTTGAGACTTGATCTGAATCACTGATCATACGAGCTGTTCCTCTAAGGGCGAGATTTATAGATTAATAGTCTTTACATCGTAATATGTTTTGGAGAAACAATGTTAGATGCTTGATTGTCAAAAGATAAATAGCGACATGATCATGGTTTGGATAATTGGATTGGTCATCCGGCAGGCCTTTAAGGGAGGAGGAACCTCTTTTTTTTTTTTTTTTTTAAATAATAAAAATGAGATTAGTTGTGGAGCGCACATCACATCGAACTTTAATGACCTGAACTGTTTATTTTTCAAGTTGCACCTCAAAGATCATTCTTCAAAATATTAGCTAAATTGGAAATATTCGAGGCATACAATGAAGTTTAAAAAAATTGACGAACAAAGTGTTGAAAGAGAAACCTTGAAATTTTTATCGTGATTATTAAATAGGTAAATGATTTTTTATTGAATTGATTTTTACAAGGATGATCGAGACTTACAATGCATGTAGTTCAGATCATTGAAGTTCCATGTGAAATGAGTTCCATAACCAATTTTCATTTTTTGAATAAAATAAAAATTTATTCCTTTAAAGGGCCTGAGGTCATCCTTATCAGGTTAAATGCTGGGCTCATATCAAGAAGGGGTTGAAATTCTACTTGAATTACCAATCCAGGTCCCTACCATCTTTCACTGCCCACAATTTTACTTTTGGCCCAGAACATAGTTTTGGTATCAACTAGGGTCTTGTGCTGCTATGGTGGGATATAGGAGAGAGAATTTGGCAGAGCTGCCCCTCTTATCGAATGGGATTAAAATAAAAATACTTCGCAAGAGGGGTCATCTCCCAGTTCTGAAAATTCCTAGCTAGAGCCGTCTAGGTCTCACTTAGGCAGTAGACGGTTGGGTACTGTGTTAATTAATCTATAAGTGTTTGAAATTTAAGAATTGATGTTTAGACATGCTAAACACCTGTCTAGGTTGCAACTCTCAATTAAATAGAAAATAGATCTTGATTTTAATTTTTCAATAAATTGGAAGAAACGTATTGAATACTTGGATGAACACTCAATATTTGTTTGCTCCCATTATTTCAATATGTTCCAATTCTAATACTTTATTATATGTTATTTTATTTTACAATTTACGTATCTGAATACAATTATATATTTTTTTAAGTATAACTAGATATTTATTGATATATTCTCTATTAAATTATCACAAAAATTGTCTAAACCCCTCTTATGTCCCACCTAGCTACCGAGGCGCCAGCATCTTTTAGAATTTTTATGGAGTTTTATGTCAAGAAATGCACGGAAACGAGTCGGTGGTGGCACGTGCACTGAGACGTAGAGAAACATAAGGCCTCTGTGTTCCGCAAATATGTTGGCCGATTTGGAGTCCAGGTGTAAAACTTCAGATATGGTCTCAGAATCCGCCGGAAAAACAAGGGTACTTTGGAGGTTTCCTAACTATTCTAATCTGAACTGGCAGATTTAACGTATTACGAAAAGCAGATCATGGGCTGAGGCTCACCAAACAACGTTAAAGAAACCCAGATTTATAAAATTATTGTGTTTTTTGTATAATTAAAAATGTATTTTGTGTAGGCGAAAAATGTAGCGGCGAACCTCCCGAGTCCCAGCGGGCAAGCACACAACCACAAACACAGCCGTCGAATCAAGGGTTGAAATTTGAAGCGACTGATTTAATTTAATTTAGTTGGGTTTAAGTTTAAACAAATCAGAACAAATTGTTACCCACGAATTTGTTTGAGATTGTGGATGATAGTTGTATAATTAGACATGTTGGAGTTGATGCGTTCCAGCTGCTTTTGCCTACTCTATGGACTTTGGCTTTCATTTTCACATGGTAAATGAGTTCAACAATATTTTCCAATCTGACAACCGGCTGTTTCTTGGTGTGCATCGGTTTCACGACAAATTTTCTGTCTGACCGTGACATCACATGTTGCTAGTATTTGCGAAAATCGAAGGAGGCCATTGGGAGAACCTTGTTTGGTAAAAAGCCTCCAAACGAGGAAAAAAAGTACCACTTTCCTAACAACTACAAAATTTAGTTGATCATATGAGGTGTTTGCCGATTTCTCACAACAAGGGAGAAAATTGGCGAATTATAAAAGTTTAAGGACGATAATTGGCTAGAGTTAACGTTCAACGAAAAAATTGACAACTCCTTGCAAGTTTGATGGAAAATCGACAAATACTAAATTAACATTATTTAGAAGCCACATATGAACATCTTCTGACCAGCAAAATAACCCTCTCGCTCACACTGTAAAGCAAGCAAAGCTATGTGCCACCAAGATATACACTCTTTTGGCATAAAACTAATGATATTTCCAATTAATGGCGGTTTACCGCAGTGGCGGAAAACAACCACACCTATGCATCCTGGTGCAAGTTCAATCCCTTCTAATTCTCCTCTTCTAACAAACCAACCATTTAATCCACTAACTTTATCGTTCTACTCAATGATATTTACAAAAGCCCTTAACAATATAATCTCGAATATCATATACCAATATACCAATGTAAAATTTCAATACAACCTTAAGCACATACAACTCCATCACAAATACTGATAATTACTCATCAGGCGCAAACGTATCGACACACCCATATTATAACACGAGATAAACAACATAATAATACCATATAATTGTCACATTTAAAACTTTATAATGTTTCATGAGAACAATAAATATTTTGTGTTGGAACAAATATATCTTCAAACACATGCTCGTTGCCCTGAATGCATACATTGAACAGAAAATGTATGGTCGTTGATGGGATCTTCTTGGATCTTCAAACGTCAAGTTGGTTCGGAAAATCAACAAAAACAAAAGGCTTGGATTCGTGATTGTGATTTTGATTTGGAGGTGGGATATGCTTCCAAGTGTGGGTTTCATTCTTGAACTGACATAAATTCATTTTTTATAATTTAACCTTTTCAATTTTTAGATTGTGTATGGCACAAAACCCTTATTATGTGCACTGAATAAATCATCAAATATTATTATTATTCTACGTGTTATATACATGAGTGGGCAATATTATTGATATGTTTTCACATTTATGGTACACCAACAACCAATTATGAATAACATAATAAATAACAATTGAAAGAATTCAATAAGGTCGAGTAACATTTTTCAAGATGAATAATATATAAAAAAAAATATTCCATTTGAAATCTTTACAAGGACAGAAATGGTCCTTAGTTTGGGTATGCTTAACCATGGTTAACAAACTGACCTAGACCCTTAACCCAGTGAACTTTCCACATACTATATATTCAAATCAACCCACATTCCATCTTCATGACAAATGTCCATTTCTAGGTAACTCTACTGGCTTTTAGAATTCCCCCACTTAACTTCAAATAGTTATGAAACTCTTCATGCTAGCCACCCTTTCAATCATAGTCTTTTGGTTTGGAGCTACGACGTCGTACTCAAACTCTCTCACTCTCACTCTCTTCCTCCTCTCATTCCTCAACCTTTTCCTCATCTCCCTAGGCCACTGGCTCGTTCCCGGAGGCTTTGCATGGTCATGTTACAGTCATGACCAAAACTCTCAAAACGAGTCTAGCCTCCGAGGACCAGCTGGGTGGCCTATAATAGGGTTCCTACCCCATCAAATGGGTTCTCTTGCCCATCAAAAACTCTCCAGTATGGCAACATCCCTCAAGGCAACCAGACTCATGGCATTCAGCTTAGGCACTACGCGTGTCGTCATCAGCAGCCATCCGGACACTGCTAGGCAAATCCTCGGAGGCTCGTCGTTTTCCGACCGCCCGATCAAGCACTCAGCTAAGTTGCTAATGTTTGAACGCGCCATAGGGTTTGCTCCTTCAGGAACATATTGGCGCCACCTGCGCAGGATAGCAGCTGTGCATATGTTTTCACCAAGGAGAATCGGAGGCCTTGAAACGCTAAGGCAACAGGTGGCTGATGAAATGGTGGTGAAAATTTGGGATGAGATGAAGGAAAATAGGGTTGTGGGATTGAAAGCAATATTGCAGAAGGGTTCTTTGGATAACATAATCCAGAGTGTATTTGGCACTAATTATTTAGGTTCAGAGAAGGAGGTTACCACCAATCGAACACTAATGTTGCTAGTTCAAGAAGGGTACGACTTGATTTATAGGTTTAATTTGGAGGATTATTTTCCCTTGAGGTTTTTGGACTTTTATGGTGTGAAGAGGAAGTGTCACAAATTGGCGGCTGAGGTGAAGTCTGTGGTGGGGCTAATTGTGAGGGAAAGAAAACGAACAGGAGATTTCGGTGGCGGCAGTGACTTTCTCAGTGCTTTGCTAGCTTTGCCGGAAGAAGATAAACTAAGTGATTCAGACACGGTGGCTGTTTTATGGGTGAGCAATCAAAAAACTGTCTTAATTTTAAATTGTTCCTAATATAATTCACTATATTTTCTCAATAGATATGCAACTATTTATATATATACACTTTATATAATGTTGTGTGCATCATATAATACTGATGACATCTTCAATAAACACAATTAGATATATAAAAAATGTATATGACATTTATATACGTGAATAACTATCAACTGTTGATACGCATACGCTAAAACTTATTAACTTTCAAATTAACGATTATCTATATGCATGTGAATAATTGTTGGATTTTTTTTCTTTCAAAATGTGAAAAATTGTTGTTAAGTGACAGATCAATGATTATGGGGGATAATTTTCCCTATAGATCGGACAACTTTATGAAAAGTGAGAATCCAAAATCCTGCTGACTTAATCGAGTCTAATTTTAGCAGCAAAAGCTATTTAGTCATGATTGGTGACATAATTACACCATACCCTAGCTAGATAACTTGGCAAGATTCCAAATTATATTATTGTTCTATTTAGAGTCGGTTTTTCTTGAATATGTTTGTCTCAACATTAACACATATTTCACCATTAAATTTGATTCAATAGTCTTTTATCACTTATTTTTAATTATTGAATCAAATATATATATGTCAACATTAAATGTTTGTAAATAATCAAGAAGATTGATTTAGATTCCGTTACCATCAAGTTCAAATAAAAAATGAACCCGATAATATGATGGGTAACCTTTCACAAATTATTTACTATGATTAAATCATATTCCGTACGAGTTTTATCTAACAATATGACCTATCTCTCTTTTATGCTATACACGTTGATCTCCTTTCTATATTCTTGGTGGAACATACACGTGCATAGTACTAATATTAGGTTAAATTAATAGACCTAAGATTTGTTTCCCTAATAGTTTTGATCTGCTAGCTCCTAGTACAACCATAAGATTTTATGTGCATAAATTAACGAAGCCTATTGTCTTTTGGTTTTGTGACATTGTCCAGGAAATGATATTTCGAGGGACAGACACGGTTGCAATACTTCTTGAATGGATTATGGCAAGGATAGTCTTACACCAAGACATCCAAGCCAAAGCACAACAAGAACTTGACACACACGTGGGGAACAAGAGGCACGTGCGAGACTCCGACCTTCCGAACCTGCCATATCTACAAGCCATTGTCAAGGAAGTTCTCCGAATGCACCCTCCGGGCCCATTGCTATCATGGGCCCGTCTCGCGGTCCATGATGTCCACGTGGACAAAGTTTTTATCCCAGCTGGCACAACTGCGATGGTCAACATGTGGGCCATAACCCATGACCCATCCATCTGGAAGGACCCAATGGTGTTTAGGCCTGAAAGGTTTATTGAGGAGGACGTGTCAATAATGGGCTCGGATCTCAGGCTTGCACCATTTGGGTCGGGCCGGAGAGTATGCCCGGGTAAAGCGTTGGGTTTAGCTACAGTGCACTTGTGGCTTGCTAGGTTTTTGCACCAATTCAGATGGTTACCGGCGGAGTCTGTTGACCTTTCGGAGTGTTTGAAGCTCTCTCTCGAAATGAAAAAACCACTCACATGCCACGTTGTCCAACGCAGTGCATTATGAACTTAAGTAGCTAGCTAAGCTAGTGGTGATGAATAATTAGGGAAAATATATATGCATTGCACTGATTAACAATTGTAGAATGGTGTGAGTAGTGTTGGAAGTAGGTAGTGCGTGGTTTGCATAGTGTATCTGGGGCCAGTAAAATGGGGTATTAGGAAAGGACTCTCAAACCCAACATAAAAAAGTAAGTAAGTAAATCTTGGCTCATGAACACTGTAAAATAATGTTTTGACTATTTATAAAAGCTTGTGGATTGAACTTTTGCATAAATGTTCAACATGTTACTTTATTACAGACTATATGTTCTCTTTTATGTTCTCTTTTTCTTTATAAAAAGAAGATTAGTTTGTGACTTTTTCGTGACATTCCATTTTTTTAGGATTAAAAAGATTAAGAAATACATTTTTGCCTCTTCCTGTTTAACATCATGTGATTCATCTGCACCAAGACTCAAATCAAGACGTGCTAGCCGCCTATATATTCATAGCGCTTTATAAAATTTTCTTTTCTGAAAGACTGAAAAACATGGTAATTGGAACATATCCACACGTCAGTATCGTTGGTTTTTACTTTAGAATTTTAGTCTATGTCAATAAACAACTTTAATTTGACATAAGTTCACAAATATTTTATGTCACCACAACAGTCAATTGTAATTAAGTATCAATTTTACTACAAACCGTAAATTGAATATGAGAATACTTTCTCCAACCAAGTATTAAAGACACTACCGTTAAACTTCTATAAATTAATAGCACTGTGATAAAAAATCTAGTAATTTAGAATCGAACTATTAATTTATCGAATAATTAATAACTTATTTATTTATCGAGATTTTCCTTATTTTTTAAAATATTTGTACGTTGTATTTGTTT